AGAGGAACCTTATTGGCTCTAAATTGAGACACCCCTAGATCATGAAAGGCACTACACAAATGCAAGTTCTTTCTTTCTTACCATTTGACAGGAAAATAATGGGACTGTAATGCTGCCTCAAGTGGCCACTTTGACTTGTTAAACAATGGACTCATCTGCATCTGGCCCAGGGCAGAAGCTCTTCTTGTTTGAGATCCCTATCTGTTCTGAGCCTTTTACTGATTCAATAGCTGCAGAGAGTCCTGTTTGCAACAGCCGGACTTGCCAGTTTTTTTCACAGAGGGATTGAGATCAAAGGGTTTCCAATGTTATAGATGATAGGTATATTTCTGATTACCCAAACTAACAGACTCTGGGAGAAACAACATCGATGTATTTGTCTGCATGCACTTGTTCTGTGGTAAACTCAGAATGAAATACACATTGCACTTAAAACTCCAGGCTTTTTTCTTTAGGAAACCATTTCAATTGTTCACTTTGGAAACTGATTCAAAAGAAAATCCCCAAATTATGGCATATCTCACCATGAAGGCACGGTGGCTCAGTGGTTAGCACTGCTGCCTCACCTGCGCCAGGGACCCGGGTTCGATTCCACCCTCAGGCGACTGTCTGTGTGGAGTTTGCACATTCTCCCTGTGTCTGTTAAAATTGCCCATAGTGCCTGTGTTTAGGTTAGGTGGGTTAGACATGAGGAAATTAGGGGAATGGGTCTGGGTGGGATGCTCTTTGGAGGGGTGGTGTGGAATTGTTGGGCTGAATGGCCTGTTTCCACACTGGAGGGATTCTGTGATTGACAGAGATCATTTTGGGGCAGCACGGTGGCTCAGTGGTTAGCACTGCTGCCTCACAGCGCCAGGGACCCGAGTTCAATTCTACCCTCGGGCAACTGAGTTTGCACGTTCTCCCTGTGTCTGTGCGGGTTTCCTCCGGGTGCTCCGGTTTCCTCCCACAGTCCAAAGATGTGCAGGTTAGGTGGATTGGCCATGCTAAATTGCCCATAGAGTTCAGGGATGTGTAGATTGGGTGGGATGGTCTGAGGGTCGGTGTGGACTTGTTGGCATGAAGGGCCTGTTTCCACACTGTAGGGATTCTAACTAACTCTAACATCTAACTAGCTCTCCTGCCTTAAAAAACATCACCACAGGGCAGCTCTCTCATTAGAGAAAAGCTGATGGTGGTTTAACATGAGGGTCACCACACCTCAAGCAAGGAGAGAGGCTGAGAAGGAGAGTCCCTCATGGTAACCTCAGCTGGTGTGGAATTTGAACCCATGCTGTCGGTGTCATTCTGCATGGCAAACTAGCCAAACAGAAAGAGCTGCAGATGCTGGAAATCAGAACCAAAAAACAGAAATTGCTGGAAAAGCTCAGCAGGGCTGGCAGCATCTGTGGAAAGAAATCAGAGTTAACTTTTCAGTTCCAGTGACCCTTCCTCAGTTCTGAGAGAAGGGATTTCTTGTGGAGATGAGCTTGCTAGCAAAGCTTAGGCATTCTGGTTCACAGTCAATTTACTAACATTGACATAACTTACAAGCTCACATTTCCAGCATATAATTCACCCTCCTGTAATCTCAGTTGCTCCTTCTCTCAATTTTCTAATGTTGTCTTCATTCAGGTTCTGGTAGGGAAAGTCCAGAATGAGGGGATGTAACCTCAAAATTAGAATCAAGCCACTTAGGGCTTCAGGATGTCTGGGTGCATCTCTGCACAGAAAGGGCGCCTGGAACTCTGTCCCACAAAATACCTGCTGAGACTGGAAATCAATTGAAAACTTGAAAGGGATGGTAGATTTTTCTTCAGTAAAGGTTTCAGAGCCAAGGTGAGCAGATACAGTTAGGTCGGAAATCAGGCACAAGTTAACTGAATTTTGTAACAGGCTTAAAGGGCTGAAAGGCCACCTCCTGTTCCTGTATCCTCAGTTTTCAGTTCATTCTTTTCCCCTCAAACCCGTCTGCTTTCCCATTGGCTGCCAAGTTAAAGCATAACAACCTCTAATTTCAGCAATGTTCATCACTGCTGTTTCATTTCCATTTATTGTTATAAGATCTTCAAATCACCGTAATCGCAAGAATATTACATATCCCTGGAATAATGTGTGTGGTCTTAGTCTTTCTACATTAGGAAGAATTTATTTGCCTTATGAAGGGTCCAATGGAGGTTCACTAAAATTGATTCGGGGACAAAAGTGTTGCCCTATGAAGAGGGATTAAGTAGAATGTATATTTATTTGAATTTTGAAGAATGAGCGGTTTTCTCATTGAAACATACAAAATGAGCAGAGTACTTGATATGATAGACACTGGAAGATTGTTTCCCCTGGGGCTGGAGAAACTAGAGCAAGTTTCAGTACTGATACAGAAATAAATCCCTTCTCTCAGAGGGTTTGTGAATCTTTGGAATTGTTGACACCAAGGAACTATGCTTAATTACGGAGTGTTTTCCAAATGATATTTCAATTCATGCTTGGGATGTAGGTATCGCTGACTGGACCAGCACTTATGGAATCACAGAATGCCTACAGTGTGTGAGCAGGCCATTTGAGCCATTTTGCCCACACTGACTCTCTGTAAAGCATCTTACCCAGACCCACCCCCACCCCCTATCCTAACCCTGTAACCCCACATTTCCCATGGCTAACCCACCTAGCCTACACATCCCTGGACAGTTTGCAGCAATTTAGCATGGTCAATCCACCTAACCTGTACTGTGGAATGAGACTGGCACACCAGGAGGAAACTCACACACAGACACAGGGAGAATATGCAAACTCCAGACACACAGTCTCCTGAGGCTAGATTCGAACCTGGCTCTGTGAGGCAGCAATGCTAACCCATGGGCCAACATGCTGCCCAATTTATTTCCCATCCCTGGTTGCTTTTGAGAATGTGATGGGGAATTGCCTGCTTGAACCACTGCAGTCCATGTGCTGTAGGGACACCCATAATGCTGTGATGGTGAAGGTTCCAGGAACAAAACCATTGGTTGGCATCAAGCTTCTTGAGTGTTGTTGGAGCTGCAATCACCGATAGATTTTTGAGCATAAAGGAAGAAAAGGGATTTGGGGATCAGGTGGAAATCAAGCATTGTTATAGAATGTTAGTCATCATTGTACTGAATGGCAGAAAAGGTATGAATTGAAAAATGACCCACTCCTAATCTTTTTCTTATGATCTTGGGTATTTCAGTGCTATGTATTGCATTTACCAACTTGTCTATATTCTTGGGTTCATTTTAATCTGCCACACTCCCCACTCAATGTGAGCTAAACCGTACACATGTGTGTCATGAGAATTAATGTATTACTCCACATACAGGCTGAGTTAACCTGAACTAAGTTAACATGAAATAAAGACAGGAACCTGGTTTTACTTTTTAAACTTAGTTCCAGTTATCTGTGTAACAACAGTAAAATAACAATGACACCATGCTACTGCACATTGGCATTTCACATGAAAGAAATTAATCTTCACTACATTCTGACGTACCATCAAGATCAGGAGCCCTTCTCTCTGCAGGTTCCTACTTTTTAAAACGCTTTTTTGTCTCAGCAGAGTTCTGCTTGCAAGTTCCAGTTTGCCTTTTTGGAATCTGTATCTCTTAGAATTATCACAGGCTTTGCAGGGCAAGGATTTTCAAACCCAATTGATAAAAGATTACTTTCTGGTGATCTAGACTATATGAATCAGATTGTCTGATTTAATAGATGACCGTGGGAGGCTTCAGGAGTTGAATGGCCAATATCTGTTACTATGTTCTTTCTTAAGATAGTTAAATTGTCTATTAATTATTTGTTGGCAAAATCAGTTTCTATTTGGTATATCTCTTGTGCTCCACTTGTTTTTTAAATGAAAGTTGTGATTATACAAACACCAACTAAAAATGTATCCTAAATCATTTCAGAAGAAAGATGATCAAAACATCTTGGATGTTGACTTTAGGTTTTTGTATATATGGATTTCTCAATTGTAGAACATTTCCCAGTTTCTAATAGAGGTGAGAGATTGTCAAATCATTTCATTTGATACATCTTGATCAACCAATGTCATGGCTGTTTAATTCAGGGCAAATTTTAATTTTCAGTTCTTTCCTTCTTATATGCAATTAAAGATAGAGTTGACTGTCTATCCATCACCTTCAATATTCACTCCTTCTGCCACACATTAGCAGCAACGTGTGCCTTCTACAAGATGCATTGGGCAACTTATTATGACTCTTTCAACAATACCTTCCAAACCCACAACCTGTACTACCTCAAAGGACAAGGTTTGCACATGCAAAGTTCGAGATATGCACCATTTTGATTTAGAACCATATCACTATTCCTTCATTGTCAATGAAGTCTTGCAACTCCCTTCCTAACAGCACTGTGGGTATCTCTACACTGCAGCGCTTAAGAAGGCAGCTCTTCACCACCTTCTCAAGGACAACAAGGGGTGGCCCATAAATATTAGCCAGTTATACCCACACTCCAAGTTTGATTTGTTTATAAAGATCCTTTTATCCCCTTCTCCCTCATGCTTATCAAGCTTCCCTTGGAATATATCTAAACTACTCACTGCAGTAGTGAGTTCCCCTCTCTCACCGTGATCTGAGTAAAGAGGTCTCTCCTGAATTCCAGATTAGATTTGGTATTATCTTATATTTATGACCCCTAATTCTGGACTCACTCAAAAATGGAAACATCATCTACACTGTCAAATTCCTTCATAACCTTCTGGTACACATTTCTAATCTCTAATAAGTTTGCTGTTTCAAAGCTGCCAAATACCTCAGTGATGATGGCAGTAGTATGTATGTGACAACAGCCAAACTGGTTTCCCTTCAGATACAGTTCACCAGGTAGAATCTCCTTCAAATCAAAAGCTCCGATAGTGACTGAAAAAGAAAGCTTGTGCATTTTCAAAGCTTTAATTGCAAGTGGTTTTAGAAACGTTGTTACACTCATTATGGTAACACTATGAAGAAACTAATGTTCATGCCCCATAGGGTTTTTGGGTCATTCTACTTGTTGTCTCTAAGCCATACGTGCTTGACAATCTGGTTGGCAGCTGGTCGTCCTGAAGGGCAAAACTGTAACAGTTCCCTTATCAAAGATTGGCATTTCTCCTCTAGTTGGATGCTATCTGGGTAGACCACTCCTTTCTGCTGGCTCTTGGGTAACTTGCTGATGTTTGAATCATCAAAGGGCATGCACCCGGTCACTATCACATAAAGAATGATGCCCAGGCTCCAAATGTCGTACTTTTTGGGGTCGTAGGGGACCCCCATGAGGACTTCAGGAGGGGCATAGGCAGCAGAACCGCAATAAGTGCTGCTGAGGTCAGGATAACCATGAATCTTCTTGCCAAATCCAAAGTCGGTGATCTTTACCTGCATTTCTTCAGTCAACAGGATGTTTTCACACTTGAGGTCTCGGTGGACAATGTCATGCTCGTGAAGGTATTTGACAGCGCAAGCAATCTGCGTAAAGAAATGACGGGCTTCATTGCATGGGATGTGGCCCCTGTGTTGAATCAACTGGAGAAGATCTGTTGCTGCCTGCTCCATAACAATGTAAAGCTTCCCATTGCAAACTTCAATGAATTCATAGACCTGAACAATGTGAGGGTGTTTGATTCCTCTCAAGATGGCCAACTCCCTTGGCAGAAACTTATTGACAAAGTCTGGTGGAGCCTTCTTCCTGTCTACTACCTTTATGGCAACATTCTCCCTGTATTTCTTGGAACTCCCTACTTTCACTTTAGAATAACTGCCTTCACCGATTGTTTTCCCTAGTTTATAACCTAACTCTGTAAGAAATGTGTCTCCGGACATGGTGCATGGCCATGTTTTTTTTTAACCAATTTTTTTGAGGTATTAGCCTTATGAGTAAACCAGTTCACACATGTGCTGTAATAATTTGCAATTATGAAGTTTTTGTAGGCATCATGTACCTGGCGGCCATTTATAGACATAGCCTTGGAAGAAATGTTTCAAAATGTTGGCAAAAATCCTGCCTTTTTGATTCTGTGAATGCTCCCAACAAGATTATAGTGCAGGAACATTTGACGGGGAATTAGATAGTAAAGAGTTGAGTGACAATGCAAAGTTTATGTCATTGCCTACATCATCTTGAGAGTCCTCGTCCATCCCAGGTTCAGTAACTTTTCCATTTCAGCTCAGAGATGTATCTCAATCTTGGAGATCGCTCCATGTACAAATTAGTGCTTAAATCCTACACGGTTTGTGTTTTCCAATCTTTACAATTGTACTTGATTGTAGTCTATTTGCTTTTGGACAGAGTGATGATGCACTGTAGCGAGGTCTGACGACATTATCTTGATTGCGCCATGGATGACAGCAGGTTACCTTTGAACTTGCTTGTCGAGGGGAGAGGTCAAACATACACTCTGACCTCTATGACATCACAGGTTTGATAGGCAAAGGAGGATTTCTTGACCTCGCCAGTATAGCAGGCTAATGTGGGATCAGCTGTTGGGCTATAGGCAACTTCACTCACTGAGATGTGAATGCCGATTTGATGACGAAACATGAGGTGGGGAGATGTAGGCCTGACTCATGAGGAAGCCACTCTCCTGATTGCTTACCTTGTAGCACAGGTAACTCTGGTATATTCAATAAATGAAAAGGTACCTCTCTGCTCCCTCAGACATGAACTGCACAGAGGGCTCCTCAGGTGCACCCGTTATTTTGTGGAATAATCATTCATATTTAGAGGGTTCTGGGGAAAGAGCCAGGGCATCAGACCAATTGGATACCTTGACAATGAAACAGCATTAGACTGGTGGGACAAATAGTCACTTCCTGGGCTGTATTATTTCATGGTTGTATGAGTTGTACAAACTAAATTGTACAATTTAATAATTATAAAACCAGCTGGAGAAATGTTTGTAATGAAAATTAACACGAGGAAAAATGAATTGTAGAATCATAATGGTTAGAAGGACAATATGGAACTAGGAATATAATGCATGGAACTACAGAAATGTTTAACAAGAAAGAAAATTAGTTAAGGAATTATAATAGAGGATATAATGTTAGGCCAATGATTTGAATGTTTTGTTTGATGTCACCTGGAGGTGTAAATGGAAACCTTTCAGAACTCTGCCTGAGGGAACTCTCTGGATAAGTTAGAATCCAGAATATTGTTCGTTGATTTCGAACGACTGGGACTTGATTGAGTGAACAGATTTTTTGTTACTTTTTCTCACTTTCCACTGCCCTTTGGGAGACTCTTGCCTCTAAGGTAGTGGATTCAAGCTATTTTCCCAGGAGTTGTGCACACAATCCAGTCAGCAGGGATAACTGAGTGGAATAGATTGGGACAGCGGAGTCTTTGACAATTTGAAATCTACAGAATCAAAAAGGCAAGACTTTTGCAAACATTTTGAAACCTGTCTACCTGTGACACAAATTTCAAAGAATTATGTACCTGAACCCCTAGGTTCTACAAAATACCTTTCGCTGTAGACCTTTGGAATACACAAGCCAAGAGGTACAAAGTCATCTATTGGAGATTCAGTCGATGCCCTGAAGCAGGAAATGGAAAAAGGCGATATAACAGAGGTAGATCTGGGTGGTCTTTATATGAGAATATGAGGTTGAAAGTTCAGTCCAGGATAAGCATAAACAAACAGTGTGGTATGGCCTGAGGAAGTGGCCAAACAAGAGGAATGGAATTTTTGGGGTAAGTAAGGAGTTTGGCAGGCACGAAAGACAACATCCTCAGTCTTCGCAATCTTCCCAACTGGTGGAAATTTCAGACAGGTCCATAAGATCATAAGAAATAGAAACAGCCCCTTGAGCCTGCATTACCATTCAGTAGGATCAAGACTGACCTGATACTCCTCACATCCACTTTCCTACCCTTTCCCTGTAGACTCTGTGATCTCTTCCAGAGGGCACACAGCTGACAGTGCAGCACACCTTCAGTACTGCACTGAAGTGTCAGGTTAAATTTAGTTGTTGTGAAGCTTTAACCTATGTGTATATGTCCCCACTTGCCTGGATGGGTGCAGCTATAACAACGTTCAAGAAGCTTGACACCGTCCAGGACAAGTAGCCTATTTGATTGGCATCACATCCACAAGCATCCAGTCCCTCTACCACCGATGCTCAGTACCTGCAGTGTGTACTATCTACAAGATGGACTGCAGAAATTCACCAAAGATCCTCAGACAGCACTTTCCAAATCCATGACCACTTCCATCTAGAAGGACAAGGGCAGCAGATACATCAGAACACCACCACATGCAAGTTTCCCTCCAAGCCACTCACTATCCAGATTTGGAAATATATTGCAGTTCCTTCAGTGTTGCTGAGTCAAATTCCTGGAATTTCCTCCCTATCAGCTTTGTAGATCTGCCTGCATCACATGGAGGCAGTGGTTCAAGAAGGCAGCTCACCACCACCTTCTCAAGGTCAGCTGGAGACATGCAATAAATGCTGGCCCAGCCACTGATGCCTATGTTCCCGAAGTGAATCAATGAAAACAAAAGAATTAGAAGCAAAGCTATCACGAACTGAGTCAAGGGAGCAACATGAATAAACTTAAGTAAACAAGTGGAACATGTAACACCAGTAACTCTCTGAGTTCCAAATGCAGTAGACGACATCACTTGTGACCAGATCACTCTCAGCCATAAACATAAGATAGAAACATTGGTTACTGAGAGAATGGTAAAAAAAAATGTGGAACTCACTACAGGAAGTGGTTATAATGAATGGCCTATGTATTTTAAGGGGAAGTAAGATGTTTATATAAATGATTTGGGTGAGAATATCAGAAGCATGGTTAGTAAGTTTGCGGATGACACCAAAATTGGTGGTGTAGTGGACATTGAAGAAGGTTATCTAAGATTACAAAGAGATCTTGATTGATTGGGTCAATGGTCTGAGGACTGGCAGATGGAATTTAATTTGGATAAATGCGAGGTATTGTATTTTGGTAAAACAAACATGGGCCAGACTTATACAATCAATGATAGGGTCTTTGGTAATTTTGTAGAACCTAGGGGTTCAGCTACTTAATTCTTTGAAATTTGCGTCACAGGTAGACAGGGTGGTTAAGAAGGCATTTAGCATGCTTGCCTTCATTGCTCAGACCTTTTGACTATAGGGGTTGGGACATCATGTTGAGGTTGTACAGGATGTTGGTGGGACCTCTTCTGGAGTACTTTATGCTGTTCTGGCCGTCCTACTATAGGAAGGATATTGTTAAACTGGAGAGTGCTCAGAAAAGATTTACCAGGATTTTGTCAGGAATAGTGGGTTTGAGTTATAAAGAAAGACTGGACAGGCTGGGACTTTTTTCACTGGACTGAAAGAGATTGAGGTGTGAACTTATAAAGGTTCATAAAGTCATGAGGGGCATGGATAAGGAGAATAGCAAAGGTCTTTTCTCTAAGGTGTGATGTGCAAAACTAGGGGGCATATTTTTAAGGTGAGAGGAGAAAGGACATAAGGGCAGTAGGAACTGCCGATGCTGGAGTCTGAGATAACAAGGTGTAGAGCTGGATGAACACAGCAGGCCAGGCAGCATCAGAGGGGCTGGAAAGCTGACGTTTCGGGTCTGGACCCGACCCTTCTTCTGAAGGGTCCA